TATATATATATATATATATATATATATAGAAGTACATTATGGTTGTTAAAGATCCAATTTCGAGTTGTGCAAAGGTCAGCGTAAAAACAATTCAAATGAAATGAGTGCTGCTCTAAATTGGCTAATGGCTCATTACATTCAATTTCGATCCAAGTCAGTTTTAAATTGAATCGAGCTCGATCCGATTCAAAATTCAAACAAACTAGCTCAAATTAAGTTCTTTGAATCCATTTCAGCTCAAAATTGGGTCAATTTGGCTCAGGCGAAACTACCCAACTCGAATTCAGTTGTTTGGATTAATTCCCTTTCAAATCAGCTCGTGCCTCGTTATATTCATTTTATTTATCATTACATATAATTTTTATAAATAAAAAAATACATTATAAACTCGAAATCGGCTAAAAAAAATAAATTATTAAAAATTTCGGCTCATTATCCGATTAAATTCTGAATCCGAACCGATCCGAAATTAAAATTAATTTTCGAATAATTAACAATATACCAACTATTAATCGCTAAATTAAGAAAGGACATTGTAAGAGAAAAATGTGTGGGACCCATAAACTGGTCCAATGGTCAACTTCAACGTCGCTAGTGGCGGTCGCCAATCCGTCCTTCTCGGAAGTAACAGCAGTGGGACCCTGCCTGGGTGGAACCGTGCTTTAAGGAGCGTTCGGACGGTCTTCGTCGAACCGGTTGGTGACACGTCCTGATCCGCCGGTTCAATCCGGACGGGCCCCGAGCTGAGGAGAAAGGGATCACGTTCATTTCAAGTTAAAATCAACGGCTGTTGTTAACCTGTTCAAATCATAAAGCACAGGCGTCTCTTGATAAAAAAAAAAGTTCATGACGTCCTAATCCAACCTTAATCATTGATATAAATGATATTTTTTTAATATTTAAATGATATTAATTTTTTTATCTTAATTTGCGAAAAAAAAATTAATGATAATGAATTCATTAATTATGCTGGATAAAATAACAACATAAATATAATAATTTTATATGATATTAATTGAGACCCTTAATAAAATCATATTTTTAACCCTTATTTGTCTTTATTTGATTAGGGCTGTTGCCAATTAATTTTATATTTTTAACGCATTTTTTAATTATAACTGATTCTGCTATCTTCTCGTATCTATAACTGATACCGACGCATTTTCATATTCGTAACTAATATTAACATATTTTTTTATGAGTAATCGATTTTGACACCCTTCTGTGAGTCAACCTCTTTCGATTGGCGGGCCATTTAATGATCAACTTGGTTGATTTGGGTCGACAGTTTCATATGGATTCTGATCAGCCTTGGCTCCCGAATGCCGAATGATTTTAAGAACAGCAACAGATTTACCTTGGGGCAATCAATATAAGTAGTTTTGGCCTGAGCGGCCCTTTCATAGTAGAGTCTCGTTTAACCGACCAGTCTATCTTTAGTTGGCTGACGATCAATAATTAACCGACGTCATTCAACTTTATATTTTCTCACCAGACTATTGAATTTCACTCTTCTCCCCTCCTAACCGTTTGATCGTCCTGAGATTTGTGCTCATAATGTTTTTTGCATACATGATAACAATATTCTTTATTGTGATATTAAAGTCTTGAGTGTATTGTGTGTAAATATTAAAGTATAGGTGTAGATATGTAAATACATAATATTTGTGTTCTATGTGTGTAAATTTTCTTTTTTTTTATTGGCGAAAATCCTCCTATACGTATTCGAAGCACGGTAAAATCAATAGTTTCGTTTACTCAGTAAATTGTCGCCGTCGGTGAGAGTAACAGCAGCCATGGTCGGCGGATTCAGGCTACAGCAGCAGCATGGCAAGGGGAGGGTTAGGGTTTCTAGGGTGTGGAGAAAGGCCGCCGGCGATGGTCGAGCTGATGTCATCGTCGAATGGAACGTGAGCATCTCCCTTCTCTCCGATTGCCTTGAAGCCTACACCGATGGCAACAACTCCTCCATCGTCGCTACTGATACTATGAAGAACACCGTAAGCTCTTACCTTCTTATTGGAGTCCAATGAATTTTTTGCCATTCGATGGAGGTTTTCAGACTAACAAATTTCGAACTATTTGGTTCTGAAGGTTTACGCTAAGGCAAAGGAGTGTACGGAAGTTGAATCTCCGGAGGGTTTCGCGATTCGACTGGCGAAGCACTTCACGAGCTTCTATCCTCAGGTAATTTTAGTTTGCATGCACCGAGGGGCTTGTGTTTGGTGTTTCTTCTTTTTGGTTCGAGTGATCTGTTGTGAAAGAAAGGGTTTGATCGTAGGTGACGACTGCTATAATTTCCATAGTGGAGAAACCATGGGAGCGTGCTGTCGTGGATGGCCAGTCTCATGTACACGGTCAGTTTATCCTATCTTTGAGTTTTTATTGGTTGTCGTTGTTTTTTTTTCTATTTTGCTACAAATTTATCTTCAAACTTCAAGATGCGGTGGAAGATTCAGAAGTAAGCGAATTTAGTTGATGCCGAAGTCAGCGAAATTAATGTAACTACTCATCCACCCGAGCATTCTCATCTTAACGACACTTAATTTTATACTTCTCTTAGCAACATTCCACACCACAAAGCTTTGTAGGCCGTACTATATTGCGATTTATTCTTGAAAAATGTCGTCGTAGATTTCAGACAATTCACATGAATGTGCATAAATACTGATGGATCAAATTTCCTTTTGCCATGGTGGAGACCTTGGAGGATTGGTAAATGACCTTATTGTCAAAGCTTGAGAAGTACAAGCGAGCTGATTTCTTCAGGGTCACGAGGAATAAATAGTATTTGAGGACGTCATCCATTCGTAATAAACATGCAACTGTTTCAAAAGAAGCAACGTGAACACCGAGATCTATCATTCCTTCGTAAGAATCCAAGGAAAGGATTTTGAACTTTTAGGGCGGGCGCTCAGTTTCAACAATTTCTTTCAAGAAAACATTCTCCAATGGCCTTAGTCTTCTTCTTATTTCTCTCACGTCTTCATCATCTCAGGATTCTCAGATCCGGGATGTACAACTCATCATCTTCTTCCTCTTTTTTTAGCATAAAGCCAGGGCTATCATTGTCCCTGTCCTTGGTAATATTTTTCTCGATGGCAGGGATCTTCGTGATTCACGCCTCCTTATTATTGATCCTGATGATCCCATGTGGCTTCTAGGATGATCCTCGGGTCGAGTCCTTGACGCCTGCAACACTTCTTCTATCCTCATCTTCATCTGCTCTCTTAGTTTGTTCATTTGGTGCAACATGAACTCTTTGATGCAATCCATCGCTGCCCTTCTTTTTTTCTTTTGGATGATGATACCCCCTTCCTCTTCTGTTAAGGTATGACTCATATACCATAAATGGGACAAATGCTGAAGGGGAGCGGAGCACACGAGCGGAGTGGAGCACACGAGCGGAGTGGAGCACACAAGCGGAGTGGAGCGTAAGGATCTGTCCAATCGGGGGAGTTTCATTATGTGGGTTGGGGGTGCGGGGACAACGCCCTGCAATTTAGTACAGGGGTAATTTAAGTAATTACATAGTGTACTATAGGGTTTTATATATATATATCATGTTTGTAACCTTAGGTGAGTCTCTGAGACTCAGAGAGCTGAATCTTGTATTTTGTACTCTTTTCTGAATATTGAAAAGGAAGTCGCCGCTTTGCTTCTGAGGATGTAGACATCTTTGCCGAACCTCATAAATCTCTGTGTGTTCTTCTGGATTTGTGTCGATTCCTAGTTTTTCTTCGCCCTAATTTCTCAACTTCTTCCTCTCCTCTCCCCTATCTCTAATATTCCCTAAGGTTTCATTCTCCCCTTAGGGCCACAAAAAGAGAAAAAAAAAATAAAAGAATGTTACATGGTAGACCGTACTGTACAAAGTCTTTTGAGATTTTGTTGTTTAAAAGATGTCATCGTATATGTCAGGGGGCTCATAAAAGAGCATGGATAGTGATGGATCAGAGTCTCCTTCCTTTCGCCATTCCAACAATCTTGAAGGATATGTAAATAACCTTGATGACGAAGCTTAAGAAGCGTAGATGAGTTCAGCAAATAGCTCGTCGAGTATGTGAGAGCTTGACAGAGAAGCTTGATGAGTTCAGATGAGTTCGACGAAGGAGCTTGCCAGGTCTTCTTGAGAGATTGTTCTTAGGGTCATTACTTAGATGGATGCTTTTGATTAGTTTGATCCATTAAAAAAGAGTATACTTCAGGTTCATGATAAGAAGGCCCGAAAGGTCCACTTCACATATGGGCTTCCTCAATTGTTGAATAGTTTTAGGACATCTGGTCCTGTATTGTTCATGAATTCATGCAATCCGAGGGAGACCTGGTGGGATGAATGGAGGAGGTGAAGAGGGATAGAGTTTCAGACTCTTTTTTATCCCCTTTGATGATGGCCCCCCTCCTCTCCTCTCATATTATCTCTTAAATTCCCCAAGGTGTCCTCCCTTGTAGGGCTACAAAAACAGAAAAAAAATAAAGAAATGTTACATTATAAGCCGTACTGCATGAAGCCTATTGAGGTTTGTTATTGAAAAGATGTCGTTGATGTTAGGCGACTCATAAATGACCATGAATAGTGACGAATCATTAAGAAGCTTGCTATGTCCATATAAGAACTAGTTTATAAATTATAATAGTCTGCTTATCAGTAGTTCTCTTTTGTAGAATTTTATTTATTAAGCCTGATTACATTTATTTTTCTTTTTCCATGGTTCATTTCTACAATTTTAATTTTGTTTTATGTAGGATTTAAGCTTGGATCTGAGAAACATACAACTGAAGTAAATTTGAAGAAGCATGGTCCTCTTAGATTAGTCTCTGGAATTCAAGGTTTATCTTTGTTAAAAACTACACAGGTATGGCTTTATATTACTCGTACTATACATGTGGTTTTCATTTCACCAAAACGAGATGCACCTGTTGGTGCAACACTACAAGTTTGGTAATAGGATCTTTGACTGTAAAACAAATTTATCCTTTGTATCCCGTAAATATGTGTCACCAGTAGGTTTCACAACTATTGTTTAGAAATACTGGCTTATAAAAGATGATTTTTTTCAGGAAGTGAAATGCCTTGACTTTAGGAAAGTGAGAGATCATTTACACTAATAAAGTGAACTGATTTCCCTTTCATTACATAATAAAATTTAGGAAGATGTACATACATACCACTTATTTCCTAGGTATTTACATATCTAACATCTAAACTTCAATTTTTACATATATGCCACCTTACCCACCCACGTATGAAAAGATGTGTTTCACTTTTTAAAAGTTAAACCAGTGATATGAAAGATATGTGTACTATAAATGTAAGAAGTAGAGTTTAGGTGTAAGATATGTAAATACATATCAGTTGGGTGATATGCATGTAAATGCCTCTAAATTTTATCCTTGTAGGGTAAGGGCATATGGGTGTGACGTGTTGTTTCCATCTTGTGCAAGCAAGAGCATTTCATGTTTTTTTTTTTCTTTTTGATTGAACTAGAATCTTAGCAGGAGTCTTATTTCACCACCATTGTGTCATTTGTTGCCTGAGAGGAAGCAATTAATATGATCACTGGAAGACAAGTGCTAAGAACCATGTTTTGAAGACATGAAAATTGATCAGTCCAGCTAACAACATCAGACAGGCTACAAATGAAGAGCAAAAGCACGAGTAAATAGATAAACCATAATACATATTCATCTTCTTCCATGAGGATGCCTTACAGTAAAGCAAAGCCTTCCTTAAACTTAAGAAGCCCAAGTTTTCCATTAGTGTTCATTTGATAAACCATGTATCTGTTATGCAGAAAGTTATCAATTGCAAAATAACTTATACAAATTGTATTTTTCTGCCCTTTTTAGACTGTGATATTACTTGTGGATCACTTATGTGCTTTGTTGACTCATGGATTCTTCTTTCTCTTTGAGATATTTTAATAACTCAGGAATTCCTATTCATCCTGATACCAAACACCGTTTCATTTGCTAACCTTAAATTTCAAATTTTTTGCATATAAATATGCACTGATTTTCTTGATCTCTTTGCATTATATGATTTTCAGTGAAGTGCAAATGAAACTGGTTCAATTTTTTATTCAAGTGTATTACTACAATTCTTGACCTTCTACATTTGAGCTATGCAGTCAGGCTTCGAAGGATTTATTAGGGACCGCTACACGTTGCTCCCAGAAACAAAAGAAAGGATGTTAGCAACAGAGGTTACCGCTTTGTGGAGGTGCTCTTCAGTTCTTTTAGGTTATTTTCATATTAAAGTCTACACATGAATTTGAGTGATGCTGCTATTGTCATCTTTAGCTGTCTAGTTACTTAATTTGGGGTTACTCTTTTTGTTTTATTTTTTATTTTTTATATTTTGGGGTTATTCTTTTTTCGTAATATTTAACAGATTTACACAGAGGGATGAGTATGACAATATTTAATTCTTATTACCAAGAGATATTTTATTCATTGTAGAACAGAACGAGACAAACAAATTGCTTAAACTAAATGTAATATTACAATTTTGTGATATCTGAACTACTTCAGAATTTAGCAGAAACAAAAGCAAATTTTTATTAAGCATGGAATTGGGGGTTACAACACGACACAAATTGGAAAGGAAAATACAACACTAATCTCCGGCTAGGGTCGGAAGAGAAGACCTTAGGGCGGTGATGGCATTGACAAAGTGGTAAGGGAGTGGGGAAGGCCTGGTGGTTGTTTGGTAGGTTGGAAAGGGGTTTGTTAGGCTGTAGGTGGGCTGGACAGCACTGATTGCTGCAGGGGAAAGGGATGACAGGGTGTGGATAGATGGCATAGGGGGCTGGTCAGCAAAGGCTGCTGCTGGAAATTGATAACAGGTGGCTGGTTGGTGAATTGGAGGGCTGGACAGCAGGCTCGCAACAGTTGAATGGGGGCGGCAGAGCAGCTGGAAGGAGATGGGGTGGCCGGCAGCTAAGGGAGGTGAAGGTGAAAAGGTAGGGTAGGAGATACGAGCGGATATAACACCACCTTGGAGCAGAATACATTCGAAGCATCACCCATCGTCAAATATAGCCCTAGCAAGGGAGAATCTGAAACAACAACACAACAAAACTAACCATAATTCCACAAAACATACATATACATAAATAGGGACAGGAAATTAAAAAGGAAAGGGGGAGGCAGTGACCGACAATTTCCGGCTCTAAGAAAGGGAAGGAAGGTGGGAATCAGGAAAAAAGAGGATGGCGGGGCGGAAGTGGCACATCCCGATCCTAACAATGTCGACCAGTCCAGCAGGAGGCAGGACCATACCCGCCCTAGGCTGGATGAGCCGGTCTCTCATCGCCTCTCGTCCCCCTCCTAGCCCTGGCGTTATCTTTTTTCCCATAAGAAATGAGAAATGACATTTTCTTTGATAAATTGATTTACCTTAAATCCAACCTAGGCAATTAATATCAATTATTGAACTTATATTCAAGCAATGATGAAGATATTTTCCTTTTAAATAATACAAAAAACTTTCATGAATGATTAATATTGACAACAGAAGTAATTTAAAAGAAAATTCTTTCCGGGTTTTATAAGTGGTGGGATTATTTCATTGCAGGGTTGCAGAAATATTCTCTGAAGAAATTAAAGAAACCTGCAATCTATGGGTTGAAGTTTCTCTGAGAATGCAGTATTTCAAGTCTCAAAATTTGATTAAAGGACAGTCTGTTGTTTTTTTTCTTTACAATGTCAAATTTCTTAGATTTGATTATGTAATATCAGTATCACAAATGATTTATTAACTCAGCTTTGCCGAATTTTTTTTTTGTACTATCATAGGATAAGGGCTTGTTTGGGATCACTTTTTGTTTTTATTTTTGTTTTTGTTTTTAGTGTGTTTGTTTTTGTTTTATTTTTTTTTCCTGTTTTTAGAAAACGTGTTTGGTACTGTTATAATTAATATATTTTTAAAAACAAAAAATATAAAACATGTCTTGTTGGATATTTCTTATTTTTTTTAAACCATAAACTTATACTTATAATAAAATAGTTGGATCCACGTGCGCTATAGTATTAAGTTTTGTCGCCCATGGCGTATACGACGTCTTCCTTGCTCCACCTAGCACGAAGAATTACTTGTAGGCGGGTGGGAGGGCGGTGAGCGACGACGGCAACTGGTGGGGGCCGACAGTGCATTAGGAGGCAACGACTGGTAAGGGCTGACAACGGCGGGCTGCGGCGGCAGGCGGCTGTAGTTGGCTATGGCAAGCGGCGGGCCACTGGCGACGACGACTGGTGAAAACCGGAGGCGGCCACGACTGAGGCTGGTGGCGGGCGAGCGGCGACGACAAGCAAAGGCAACGGGAGGGGGGCG